ATTTTTCCCTACGGTAGTATAAAAAAATTATTAGGGCAAAAATAGAAAGTTTTAACTTCCAACATGAACCTGTTGTTTATTAGAATACTGAAGTAGATTAAATGAAGACGGCGAGAAACAATGGTATACACAAAAGACAAAACAGACCACTTCTAATGGCCGTCCTTATAGAAAAAGACGGCCATGCATTTAGTGAGATTAGATTTAAATCCCTAACATTTAACTGCATAATGGGAAGGAAACGTATAACGACAAGGGCGCAACATCATATTTCTTTTTGAAAGAATTTAACCCCGTTTTCTAGGCTATTCTATCGGCCCATACAAATTCGTCATTATAATCTCTTACAATTAATACAAGAATATTTTTAAAAAACTGACTGGCCGTTTGTATAAAACGGGAACAGCATTGATAGAATATATTTCCAAAAAAATTTTGGTTTGCAACCTATGCGAACGATACTGCAATTTTGTCCTCTAATTCGAATCCTTTCTGAGCTACATCCAAGATACTTTAAGCTTATCGAAAACTAGTGCAAAAAGTGGAGGACACGATTGAATGAAGAAAACTTACACGGTGTACATTCACATTGATATTTTACAGTCTTACCATCCACTGTACTTCAACAACTTCAAAAAAAGTTAAATACTCAGGACTATACCTAGACGGCAGATTGACGTGCAATCCCACACAGGACTTAAGAGACCACAAATTAACAGAAGATTTCGACAAATACGATTAATTCTAGGACCGAACTACTACCTTTTTGACCGTCAACACAAAACTAACTTTATTGAAACTTTACTACGACCACTATGGGCATGCGGAGTAGAACTGTGGGTTTCTGCCAAACCATCTAACATATAGCGCATCCAATCCTACCAATCAAAAGTCATCAGACAAATTTCAGTTCTCCTTACTACGTTAGTGACTTCGCAATCCACAACGACCCCTACATTCCTTTTGTCAACGAATTAATCCGTTCGTGATTCCGAATGTTTCACACCTCTCGGTCCATACTAACCAACCAATTACTCTACTCTACCCATCCCGAGAACCCTCCATGTCGCCTTAAGCAGGGAACACACTTACCCGATCCAACGCTATGCGACGCTACCCAATGCTACCCGACGCCTTAAGCCAGAAACACACTTACCCGATGCTACGCCATGTGACGCTGCCCGATGCTACCCGACGCAAATCCAAACTCCAATTTTCCATAAGGTTGCATTACCCCCGTGCACATCTGCCCGACGCTATGCTACGCTANGCTCATAAAATTTAACTAATAATTTATTACAAAAGATGCGTTGCGATTGTGATAGTGATTATTGTGATAAAAGCTGTGGACTGTACGCGACGTGTACTTGCTTCGGATAGATGTGCACACCCCACCAAAACGTGGCAAGGCGTCCGGTAGCATCGGGTAGCGTCGCATGGCGTAGCACCGGGTAAGTCTGTTCCTGGCTTTACCACGTTTTGGTAGGGTGTGCACATCTATGCAAAGTCAACCACACGTCACGTACAGTCACACAGCGTGTATCACAATAATCCCTATAACAATCGCAACGCCTCTTTTGTTCTTAATGCACTTTTTTGAGCAAAACCTTGTTATAAATTGTTAGTTAAATTTTATGAGCACAACCATGTAATAATTTGTTTGTTAAACTTAATTGTTCTAAATAAAATTATTCCTGTGGTTTGATTAATTTTCTACCATACCATCATAATTAAATAGTTTTTTTATAAAAACTTATGAATTTTTGATATCGTTTAATTTGGTTAAAATTAAAATAGAAATGTTGTAATTAATATAACGACAAAATTACATATACTTAATTTGAAATAAACTACAAAAAATATGAGTGTCCTGTTCTGAAGCTACTCGACGAAAATGGTGTAATTTTATGAGCAAAACCTTGAAATAAACTATTAGTTAAATTTTATAAGTAAAACCGCGTAATAAATTGTTAGTTAAATTTATTATATCAAAAAATGGTATTCCGGTGTTTTGATCTATTTTCTGCCAAACCATTAAAATTAATTTTTTTAAATAAAAACTAACGAATTTTTGATCTTGGTTAATTTGGTTTACATTAAAATAAGTATGTTGTAATTAATATAACGACAATAATACATATAGTTTGAAATAAAAATATGAGTGTCCGGCTCTTTTGTCTTCGACTGTAATCGATGCGACCCGACGAAAATTTGGACAGTGGGGATCGCAGAGCGTAGAGTAGGGTAGCATAGCATAGCGTCGGGCAGATGTGCACGGGGGTAATACAATCTTATGGAAAAATGGACTTTGGATTTGCGTCGGGTAGCATCGGGTAGCGTCGCATGGCGTTACATCGGGTAAGTCTGTTCCCAGGTTTAATCGTCGAAGGCCTCGAGACCTTCACCTTAATCTCTCACACTGAGTGCCTGAATTGGCTAGTTTCACATGGCGTCCGGGTGCAATGGTGTTTACCCTGGGACCAATGGGGTTGCAATGTCATTTAACATTGAGGTTCTTTAGCGTGCACACCTAGCCGTCAGCCATTAAGATTTAGATTCTCAAGCTAGAAGCGACTCAGTCCGCGCACCGAAAATCTGCTTCTTCCGTGAGGTTCGGTGTAGAAACCCACATCATCCCGCAGCATGCTGCCGACATTAACATCCTCATATCTAATCATTTTTCTTAGAAAAAGAACAATATATTAATTTTGGCTTTAATATGAAAAGCGTGTCATATTGAAAACACATTTCCATTTAATAACGCAAAAATGAATAGGGTTATTTGTAATTTATTCTTATTCAATTAACTTTAATTAAATTAATTATACTAACTTGTTAGTTGGATAAAGGAAAATAGAAAATACAAACGAGAAAAAACAGTTTTTAATCCTCGTTTTTAATGACGGATTTATTTAAGAATACTAAATTTGAAAATACACCTTTTCTCTATTTTAATCCAGTTGTATTCTCTTTAACGATGGAAAGACATCATCTTGAACCAGTTCGCAAATTAAATTGGGCCATTTCTATATTAATTTTTTTCTTGACCGTAAGTATCATCTTTTAAATATAAACACATCTTGTTTGTATCCTTGCTTTGAATCAAAACTAAGTTGCTAGAAAGTAGGATTATTATAAATCTTAAAATATAAATTTTATTTAATTGTGTTTGACGAATCAAATAATTTTTTTGCTGGCACATGGATCTTAATCTATCATATCAGTAATGCTTTTTAATATTTTTGTTTACATAATGTAATAAATGTGTAGAGATTAGTGACCGTTAATCTATAGTTATTCAGATATCGTGAGATGCGGTCGGGAGTGATGTAGGTTTCAGAAAAACATTTTCTTTATCGTGCCAAATCTAATCTCACTAAATGCATGGCCGTCTTTTTCTATAAGGACGGCCATTAGAAGTGGTCTGTTTTGTCTTTTGTGTATACCATTGTTTCTCGCCGTCTTCATTTAATCTACTTCAGTATTCTAATAAACAACAGGTTCATGTTGGAAGTTAAAACTTTCTATTTTTGCCCTAATAATTTTTTTATACTACCGTAGGGAAAAATGTGCCTATAAGTTATCTAGATTTACCTAACAGAATGTCACAAGATTTCGAACAGATATTCAAATCGTTATTGCCTTCTTGCATAAAATATAATTAACTTGATGAATCTGCCAATTAAAATGTGTGTTGCTAAAATAATTTAAAAAAAAAGTAATTTTAAGAATTATTCTCGACTTTTAACGGAAGCTATTTACACCCGCTTGTTATTCATTACCCTGTTTATCGATGAGCCACATATTAAAATATTGATCATATTTTGTTTTTCATATATTTTGGCCTGTAGCATTACCAAAAATGGTAGATGCCGTTATCCTATTATAATCGGCCCACAGGCAAGATTTCCCTTGGTACCGATCTCTTTCCTTTCAAATATATTATTATGTAGCACCATTTTTCGTGCTGTTTTTTTTTTTATTTTNAGCAGACAAACACTTTGAGCCCTGAAGATGATCTCAATAAAAGATCGAAACGTTGGCACGATAAAGAAAATGTTTTTCTGAAACCTACATCACTCCCGACCGCATCTCACGATATCTGAATAACAATGTAATAAATTATATGGACTGAATATTATTGTTATTTTAATTGCCATTATTATGGCTATAAGTATATGACAACGCTTTTTTTATTGACAGTGATCGCTAATCCTATAACATATCAAAAGGGGTCATGGAAGGAGAGATTTTCAGCCCATTTGTGTTTTCATGTTACCAAAATATTCCTGCAATTGACATTGCATACCAGAAATACCCCATTAAAATTTTTTCAGTATATTATCAATTAGCCTTTTTACAGATGGAGTGAGCAATATTAATAAAGAAATGAACTGTATAAATAAAAATAATTATTTTAATAAGATAATATAAAAGAATAATCTTTTTCTCAATCTCAATACAAGGCCAAAATAATATAAACGTTGAAAATATAACACTTACTAAACTTCAGCCCCGTTTGATAAAATCAGTATTTAATAAAGCGTCCAATGTTAATTCAGAGACCAAGGAATCGAATTTTGAATCAATTCGGATTTATCTTACATGCAATTCAAAATAAGCCTAAAAACCTTTTTAGGTTTTTTTTTAAATATGAAAGAACACTGTTGAACTGTTTGAATTATTTAATTGATTATGAACACTATACGATCATTAGACCAACTAGATCAATTTTTCTTTACCCATTGAACCTTTAACATTGATTGTACGACAGATATTACACGGTTATTATCGTATTATGCACTAAATAATTTTTATTGTTATTTTGTGATTTACAATTATATAATTGTTATAAATTGAATTATCAGGTCTGAATGAGTTTACTCTGAAATTTTCATCAATTTTCGATAAATCTAATTGAAATAGTTAATTGGAATTAGGCTTACGAATAATGACATCAAAAGAAATTTGTTCCAGGGAAGGACCACCCCTTGTTCTATCATCATGCCAACCGTGGTCCAGGGGCTACCAGCGAGGTCATTTCAGCTCCCAACCCATGACATTATTCGTGCGTGCATGCGCACATACGCGATTGACTCAAGGTAGGAAAACGGGCCAGACCGTATTTCTTGTCTCTATAGAAGATATGAAAAGGTACGAAATGTTTATAAAGTCTAGAGGCGATAATTTCATCCCGAGTGACAAAATAGATCAATGTAACGAAAACCTCTCCCGGGGACGTTTTTTTGGTCTGCTCGAGGTGCGATAAACATAACATAAAGATTATTTTCTTAAATAAATCAGGATTGTTTTTCAAGAGATTTTTCAACGATGGGAAAACAACTGGTCGATCTCGAGGGGAAATAATGATAGACGGATTTTGTTGAGAGTTAACGTTAGAGTCAGTTCCGATTAATTATCATCTATATTGAAATAATAAGTTGAAATAAGTCAATCCCCTATAGGAGTGAGATGGTTGAACACTAATACGTTGTACAAATTTTATTTCTTATAAAAAAAATTCAGCAGTTCTTTCAGTTGTTTCTATATGATATATACCCTATATGTTTCAAATCGGCCAATGGTATCTAATACTTATCGATTTTCCATACTGGAGAAAAAAAATATGCCTGCATCTAGAAATTGGTGTAAGCGAAAAAATGCGTGAAGAATTTGATGGTAAAAAACGTTGAGGTCGTTGTTGTATGAAACAGACGAATATTTTCAAATTGCCATGCCATCTCGATACGAATTGATTTCTGATCAGTATTCGATCTAGTGGACCACCATGGACAACAGATTTGATCGAGCACGTGCAAAAATTTGATTCTTTTGTTGCTAAAACTAGTAAAATTTTAATATTTATTTAGAAATCGTGAGATACGGTCTGGTGTGATGTTGGTTTCAGAAAAACATTTTCTTTATCGTGCCAACGTTTCGATCTTTATTGAGATCATCATCAGGGCTCAAAGTGTTTGTCTTCTGTGTAATTGTGCCATTCTTGCGTGTCGTGTCGAGAGTCCGCATCTCACGATTTCTAAATGAATATCGATTAACGGTCACTAATCACCACACATAAAATTTTAATATTAAGCGTTATAGTAAAAATTATGGAAAGATAATATTTTTTCTTTTGTGCCCAAATTATATTAGACAAAGTCTGATTTTTATATAATTTTCAATATTTTAATTGGCTGTTTACCACGGCTCTGTTGCTGTAGGTAACAGTAATTTGGGAAAGACCTATGAATGGCTTTTTTCTTAAATTTAAATTATATTTTTTCAACTTCAAAATAACATATTTCAAATGAACCGTTTTTTATTTCAAATTAACCTAAGAGAGGGTATGAAATATAAGCAAGTAAAGAAAAATTCTTATATTAAAAAATATTTAATGGGCTCACAGAAAGATCATATGAAAAATAATTAAAATTACGATGAAAAGTTAGGTATATAAAATAAAATATAAAAACCAATATTTCTTCTCTTGATTTGAGTTTTTTTAAATATAAACTATCTGGGCATTTTGGGCATTTAAAAAACACGATTTCTCACATATTTCAAATTATAAAACAATCCTTTTTTTAAATATTTTATTTTAAACAATTTTTAATGTGTGGTGATTAGTGACCGTTAATCGATATTTATTTAGAAATCGTGAGATGCGGTCTGGTGTGATGTAGGTTTCAGAAAAACATTTTCTTTATCGTGCCAACGTTTCGATCTTTATTGAGATCATCTTCAGGGCCTGGGATTTACAAACATTGTTTACATATTACAATTACATTTTGGATGTGGAAAAGTGAATTTATACAAGGCAAAATATATTTTATATATTCAATCAAAGTATTTCTACTCACTCAAAGCGTTTGTCTTCTGTGTATTGTGCCATTCTTGCGTGTCGTGTCGAGAGTGCCAGTGAGATTTTGCTGTGTGTGTTCATATACGTTGAATTTTGAAGGGGTGGGGAAGGATGTCGGTATAGAAAAGACAAAAAAAATCGCCTCCTTTCACCTCAAAGAAGCCGACGCCTTATACAAAAACTTTGATTGAATATATAAAATATATTTTGCATTGTATAAATTCACTTTTCCACATCCAAAATGTAATTGTAATATGTAAACAATGTTTGTAAATCCCAGGCCCTGAAGATGATCTCAATAAAGATCGAAACGTTTGCACGATAAAGAAAATATTTTTCTGAAACCTACATCACATCAGAACGCATCTCACGATTTCTAAATAAACAATGTTTAATTGTAATTGTAATTAATTTTAATGTGTCTGATATTACCTTCCACACCCCTATCCGGGAGATTTGGAACAAGGTCACAACCGTTTATGGCCGTTACTAGACTCTGTCGGTGCCGATATTGGTCGCTCACAGGCGACAAATGTGGTCGAGGAGCTGGCCAGGCACTTTGCCGCCGATTCCAGCTTTGCGGCCACACCGTTCGTCTACAGGCTCTCAAACAAGAGGCGGAATGTACTGCAATTAACTTTAGACTTTTTCAGCAGCAAACGTGCTCCTATCCGGCCCGTCGGCGAGAGGCGCTTACTGTACCTGGCCTTAAGGATGACAGGGACCGTACGAGCTATAGGCCGATTTCTCTGACAACCTACTTGAGCAAGCTCCTGGAGTCCATGGTGAATGTTCGTCTGTACCTTGAGATGAAGTGAGTTCACAGCCAGCATCAGGCGGGATGGATTCTGCAGGCATCGTTCTGCAGTGGATGATGTTTGCTGCTTGAAAGAGCTGTTCAGGACCTTTCAAAAGAATGATTTTGCCTGAACGTAAATAGATGAGATTAAATGACATTTGAAATTTCAAGCATATGGAATTGGTGCTCCAAGGATGTTTCTAACTGATGGCATTAAACTGATGGGTTGAAAAAGGAAATTTGTTATTTCCGTTGTTTTGGAAAGTAGGATGTTTGTACGTTGTATGGATAGTCTACTAACTTTACTTAAAAAAAGGCTTATATTAAATTTTAATGAAAGACTTGTGAAAATGGTTATTACCTTAGATCGTTTCAGCTGGTAAGAACATTCTTGGGAGAGCGAGCGTACTTCCTATTCGAAAAAGCAAACTTAATTTTTTTAAAATATTGGTTAGTGCAGGTTGGATCGAAGCGTGAATTGTCTAGTTCTACTTTTTTCTTAGTACATATTTTTTGTGTTCAGGAAGCTTAACTATTGACGAGTTTTTTCTTATTTATGTTAACAAAACTGTTTATCAGATCATAAATTTGTTGAAATATATATTTGGACTTTGTTCCTTGCGAGGCACTGATTTACATAAATTACTTACATAAATTAACTTACATAAATTTAGTAGTCTGATGAAAGCTCGCCCTAAACTAATAAACAAAAGTATGCTTATTATTCACTGCCCATAAAAAAATCGACCACCTCGGTTTTGCATGAAAAAATGGCGAAATAGGGAAATGCATATTTTCTCAGCCTTTTAAGTAAGTCACAAACTTGCGTTAGGTCTAATTTTTTTAGAAAATTTTACGCTGAACACTATGCTTTTTAAATGTTTTTCTAGATTCAGTCATTTATCAATAAATAAAAAACTGCGGGAACACGTTATTTTTGCACTTTTTACCAGAACTACAAATCGAACTGTGGAGCCAAAAAATCGTTCTGAAGAGGCGCCCTATAACAATCAATAGGAGATTTTAATACGCTCTCAATTGATTACCTCCAGCTTTGCCCTTCTCAACCGTTTTCGAGTTATTCGTGATTTTTGGGCAAAAAACGTGGGTTTTTACATGCTCATGGAAAAAACCGATCTCTCTCTCTCTCTCTCTCTCTCTCTCTCTCTCCCTCCCTCTCGCTCCCTCTCTCTCTCTCCCTCTCTCTCTCTCTCCCCCCATTTTCAAGGATGGATATATTTTGAACCGTGTAATTTTCGCAAATTTTACGCTCTACAACTGTTGTTCCGAGGACTTTTCCACCAGACCAGTCGTAATTATCTGACAGTGCGTCGGGTAGTAATTTCACTAATATACTATTTTTCCTAGCCGTATACAGACTATGTATACGAACTCTCTTTATAACAGGAGGAATCAACAGAACAAACATGTTTAGCATGATTTAGCAGCTGGATTATCAAAATAATTGAAGGTGGAAAAGAGGCCGTAAGCCGCTTTCACTGTGTAAATACTGGCATAATTTCGGCCATTCACATTACGTTCTAAGTAAAGAATATACGTTTTGGAGGCTAATCGTACAAAAGAGGCGTTTTTAATAATCCGAAATTGCAAATAAATAAAGATCTTGAAGTGCAAAATGTCCAAACAAAATGAAAAATCGATGTTTAACTTTTTTAAAAATAATAGTTATGTAAAAATTATTTTCTGTTGAGTTTAAGCAAATTTATAAAACGAATGTTTATTAGTTTCAACAACACAATGTAAATCAGTTCACTGATTATTGATTTGTAGAAGTTCAAATCTGCACACGCGTGCACATACATACACGGATGTACAAGTCGAGCCTTTCACTTTTCGCGGTCAACCGGCAATTCCAGCTTTTGTGCTTTATACCCCCGGGTGTTGGCAATCCGGGGTCAGACCATGGTCTTATCCTTCCAGCCATGTTGGGCTGCAGCTCGAGGGGCTGCCATCAGCAAGGTTATTTCAGCCTCCAACGCAAACAATTACCAGAACCAAACCCATTCACTCTTAAATACATTATTTTTTATTTACATAACATTTACTCAGTTGTGGAGTACTCGATATTCCTCCACTATACTTTACACTTATTATATAACTAACGTAATCGAAGGAACTCAATATTCCGCCATCGACTTTCTCAGACTATACATTCACGCCAATAGGTACATTCATTCTCAACATACGTTAGAGATACACAACTATCAGTAGTATATACAATAAAACAATTCTGTTTCCTCCAAGAATCGTAACAGAGGGCCTAAATACTCGCTGCCGTACTCACGCACCATTCTCATATCGGGTGGCATGCCAACGCGCCCTTGGACTACGTATTTCACCTTTCAATTAGGTAGGACACATCGAGCAGCCTTTCTCTGCGTGACACATTCGTGGGCTTTGGCCCAAATTTAAGCGTCCCT